TACTGTACGTAGTTAGTAAGGGTACGGAGTTACGTTAGTTCTTGTTGTTAGTTTTACTTAACAACAACGACGATCTACTAGTACGTATTAGTAAAGTAATATATATATATATATATATATATATACACACACACACACACACACACACATACATACATACACAACTTTTTTTTTTTTTACATTTAACATATAATCTAATGAAAATCTTCATAGCTTTTTATGAGTGAGAAAATTTTGGTTACCTAGAAATCATAGCCAAAGGTGTAATCTTTAGAGATTCAATCATCATTGCTGTGGCCATTCCTGGAGCTTCTCGTTCAAGAATTACTTTTGTAGCCTATGGAACAAGTTTTTCATTTACAGCCAGGTGTGTGTTTCTTAGAAAATGGTTAGTAAACTAGGAATTGATATGCAAATAAAACTACAGCTTATCTATTTTTTTAGAATAAAGTTTCAAACACAAAGCTTGGGTTTCTTCCTCCAAACTTTGGCCTCCTGTATCCATTTTAAAAACCAAATGTCAACAATAATCTCTTTTATAAATAAGGTTAATTGATTGACTTTATATATATATAAATATATGTTTATTTTTGTTATATTCTTATAAGTTGCAAAAGTTAAGAAATTCCACACAATTTTCAACAAGTAAAAAAGAAGCAAAATGTAAACATCATAACACTTCCAAAATTTAAATGCCATATAAAAAAAGACTATTATTAAATTATCTATCTTATCACAAAACTCCCAACAGAGATCACATTAACATAAATACAAAATATATTAAAGAGACCAGCTTACCATAATGTATGAAATAAACAGACTAAAATACATTCTCAATTATAGAGAAAAATCCCTCTGCATGAAGTTACATTTCAAGAAATCTTTCCTAATCTCATTTTATTGGAAGTTAATCATATTTATCACATAAAGTATGTTAGGTATACACAACTGTATTAATTTAAGTATAGCACGAGTGTTAAATTTACTTATGTCTAAACATGATAGTTTATCGTAGGTTTGTTTACATAACTGTGTGAATCATACATTGTGTAGTTCAACTGTTGTAAATTGGCAATTGTTGTATCATTGCATCATGTTGCTACAACCTTCTAAGTTTTCTCAAGTATTATTACATCATATCTTATAGTGTGTGGAAAGTTCTAGGCCTCAGATGCACTATTTATAGATACACAACCAAAATGTAGTTCAAGTTAGACATAGTTAGATTGATTGATAGATAAATATAGACTGAGTGATTGTGAGTCTAGCCATAAAAGCATATAGTGGTGATTTTTAGAGTGAATTATCACAGATTGTATTGTAATAACAGAGTAGAGAAGAATAATTTGTCTTGTCAATTATGTTCTAAGGTAACTGAACTAGTCTGTGTGGACTTTGACAAAAAATTATTTAAAGCTCTGGATACAACTGTAGTAACCAACAGCTATTGTGCTGATTTTAAAGTGAAATTATCACAGATTGTACTGTAATAACAGAATAGAGAAGAATAATTTGTCTAATTAAATTGTGTTCTAAAGTAACTGAACCAGCCTGTGTGGAATTTGATGAAAGAGAGACAATTATTTAAAGTTCTGGATATAACTGCAATAATCAACAGTGTAAAGAACATTTGCATACATGTTTGACTCGTTTTAATATATTATTTTTAAACAAGTGGACTGTGTACTATTTGTTTATTGTTGAAATGTATTGCCAACAAGTCACAGACACCTACTGTAAAGAATCCTGCCCATACATACCTAAGAACTTGACAAACTACATGAAATATAAAACTGACATTAAAGGGTAACAGTAAGTCACACTAAGAAGTTATCTGAAGTATACACACTAAACATGGGATGTAATAACATAAAATCAACTTATACAGAAAAAAAAAGCATTTATTTTTATAATGTTTCAAGCATATACTTTTCATCAGGCTTAACAGGTTTGGAAAATTTTTATAATTAAAATAATCTTCAAGAATACAGGTCTAAGCAATGTTATACAATATCATAAACAAGATTATATGACATGAACTTAAAGAATATTTCAAAACAATAATAATGTTTTGCAATAGTATTAGAGCATTCCACAAAGCTAGCAAAGTTAAATGACCTTAACACTGAAATACACAGTGATAATTTAATTTTCAAATTTATAAGAAGAAAACAGCAATGAAAAATTAAAGTTTAGTAACATTGTAACACAAAAAGTAATTAAGTGTGCTTTAAATTCATAATGTGATATAAAACTATGAGAGACTTTTCAACTTTTTCTTGTTAACATATTTATTTTTGACAAGTTTCAGATCTTTTGCTTAAGCTTTTGTCAGGCTGTTTGTGATCACTTGTTACAATCAAAAACATGGAACAATTTTCAAACACCAACCCTACCAAAAAAACAAAATATAATACACCTGTTAATTAAAAAGATATCAAAGCTGTACACATTCACACTCATAATTAAAATTGCACACATAATGCAAAATATTAATCAGAGTTATACCAACTATAGGAAATTAAAAACAAAAGGTATTTAACTACAATAATAACATCCAAAAAGTGCTGGGATATTCTGTTTCATCAATATCCAACAAATGAAGGTAAAAAATCAGTAATCTTTCACACTATAAATTCAGTAAAAGGGCAGGACATAGGTGCTTAATCCCACAACACACTAAGTGACACCACCATTCACTGTCTGTGATCAGTTGTAAGCATAGTAATAATCTACAGTTTGTATGCTACTTGCATGTGATGCTTTATAAAGCTTTGTGAATACAAAATGTAATTAACTGTTAAAAACTAAATCCTGGTAATTGATATCTGTAAGAAAAAAAAGCCTGCTTTTTTTAGGACACTAGATTTTTTAAAATTCAAACTGGCAAGTAACATTTTTTATATGCCCACTTAAAATATTTCTGTACCTTAGCATGCTGAGCTATAAAATCTTTGAAACTCTTGACCAATACTCAATGATTATATAGCTTTTAACTTTGCTCTTCCCCAAATATGACTGAAGAGTGACATATCACAAAACCAGATACTAATTAAGTAATATCTAAACACTTTGAATAATAAAGTTAAAATCACACAAGAACTTATTTTTACCTTTCATTATATAATTCCACATACATGTATGCATAATAATGTGAAAACATGCACTATAAATGTAAACAAGAACTACTGATAAGTTTAATTGAACCTAAACACTGCAACCAATATTATTTTTGTTTTGTGAAAAGATTCATAGCTGTTTATTTTAACTGTAATTGCTTTTTTGTGTTGGTATATGATTCTCTGTCTATTTGGTGGTTATTTTAGTGTGCATCCAAGAAAAAGAAATCTGTACAGCATAGTTTTCTTACGTCTTTTGATATTCTTTCAGATGTACCCTTAAAGGACATTATGTTTGACAAGCATACTCTCGACCACACTCCCAATAGACACTGTAAACAATGTTCATTAGTTGTACCTTCTTCACCTTCTCATTCACAGTTTGTGTTATCACTTTTGAATACCACTTTTATATCAAATTTACCCATAATATATTTTAATTTTCTCATAGCCAAAGAATATAATAAATATGCATGAGCATTACTAGGTATGGTTGTCAAGTGCACCATCTTCCCTTTACAACTTCAATTAAATTTTGATGGTCATGGAAAATAATTTCTAGTGCTGCTAAAACTGCCTAATGTGGTGTTATAATTTTATATTCATAACCTATCATTTGCTAATGTGGCATGAACCTTGCTATAGACTATGCATTGGAATAATAATGACTCATTCCTCACTTAGGATTACTCAGCACTACATGTGTTATTTGTTTCAAATTCCCACCCAACCTCACACAAAAACAAGTCATGGTAATACCCATGTATATTTTTTTAACTCCTAAAATATGTTAAAGTTGACATTTTGCCAGTCATTTATAGGTAACATGTTGAAATGTGCATTTAAATGCTTTTTAGGGTAGTTTTTGGTTAAGAATAAATACTCAAGAAGTTTATTAAACTACTTTTACATGTCCTTTTTACCTGAAAGACACGTTTTGAATATTCATGGGTAGATAGATCTGTTGAAGATGAAACATTTATCTATATCCATTTCTTTCCAATAAAATAATACTGTTAATTGTGGTTGGCCTGTTTCTCTATATAGTTTTACACCCAGAAAATGTATTCTGTTGTTCTTCTCACCCTTCAGCAGTGAAGGAGTTATCTGGATTTCATATGTTTAAATGATGATGAATGTTTTGTTTCAATGACCATCAAGGTGGGCACATCAGGTGGCTTAACAGCTAATATTAACTGCTAAAACCTCTCCTCTGTTATGCTTGAACCACTCAACGTCAAGTGCTTAATAGTCTTAAATTTTGCTTAAGTCCATTCCGCTTTAAATTTCTAATGTTATCCCTAAAATTTTTATTCTCACTATTGGATTAAACCTTAGATTTGTGAGCAGGATGTAGAGAAACAAAATTTTTGAATGCCCTTCATTGTCTCTCAAGTCCCTTTGGGCCTTGTTAGATTTCAAAACCAAAATACCTTCCAAGTCAATAGTATTAGTTGTTTCAATGACTGTCTCTCTACTTTAAGACCTGTCATCCATGTATCTGATACACAGTTTAGACTAATGTAATGCAGATAGTAATTGTAATAGTTACAAATTGCTGTATAAATATATCTGCTACAATGAAGTCAGAGGAGGACACACAGGTCTACTGTTAACCATTTGGTAATAGCAACTGCAACAGTTAAAATAACAAAGTTTAAAATGTTCATAGAGGCTAGTGTTGTTACTAATTCTTATTAATTGGTCTTTAAAAAATATAGTGTCATTGCTTAACTTATTTTGTATGGCAGTTATAGCTTCTACAAATAGAATATTTGTGAATAAGACAGAAAGCATCAAAGCTAGCCACAGTGTTATCATAGACTCCATATTTAGGGATGGCCAAGGTACTCAATAAGCATAATACAAATATGTATGCTAAAGAATCAACAGTGAGAGAGTTTTACTTTAAAAGATGATTTCCACTCACTTTCATTTGTTTCTCTATACAACAAACCCAAAAATAAAGCAAGAAACCATCTTAAGATACCAAACCAGAAAGTAACCAACCCACCAAATTATTCATCTCTCTTCTTCTTGTTTCAGTTGAGATAATTCTACAACTGCTTTATCACTAACATTAGTTTAAACCTAAATCCACTATCTGTTCCTAGGCAGTGCACAATGTCATTGCTTTGTCATAATAACTAGTAGTAATTAAAAATAAATCATAATTCTAGTGTAAATTATGTTACAATTATCCTGTTATGTGGTGTTCCAACCAACAATAAAGAAACATTAGATGATTGTGACATGTAAAATACTCAATGCCTTGTACACTATACAATCGGTGTCTTTAGGGAGTCAACCCTTATGGTATGTATGAAGTGACGGAATAAAAAAATAATATATATATATATATATATATATATATAATATTAAATGTTATTACACACATTTATAAAATACACTAACTTCCAATCAAGTAAAAAAATTTCACAAAACAAGTAATAAAAACATTTTGTAAATGTAAAATAATGTAGGGGTCCCGGCATGGTCAGGTGGTTAGGGCGCTCGACTCGTAATCTGAGGGTCGCGGGTTCGAATCCCTGCCACACCAAACATGCCAACCTCCGCCTTTGCCTGGTCCCAAGTCCAGGATGAGAAAGGAGGAAGGTTGGGTGTGGGGCTAGCAATTCCACCCCATAAAAACCAACCTGCTACAAGTAGCTGCAACAACAACTTCCGTTGGGAGGTGTTGTTGCAGCCCTATGCTCCACTGGGAGTTTACAGGAATAAAAAAAAAAAATGATGTAGGGATGGTGATGCAAAAAAGCATGCAAGCAAGAATATAGGAATGATACAGCTATATATAGACCATCCCTACATGACTTTCAATTTTAAAATTTAATGTTACACTGTAAAATGCATATTTGACTTTAATATTACTGCAGTTGGAATTATATATTTCTGACTGTTAATATGCAGTTTGTTTGTCATAATATCACGGTTATGTCAGGGTAGGCATCAGTGTAGTATAACTAAAAGCCTAGGACTTACATACAAGGAAAACCATTTTGAACCACAACATGTCTTGATTATTATAGACTCTTGCTATGAGGTCTATCAAATTGACCAACCTCGTAACCATTTTTTACTCGTGCATTTTACAATGACTAGAAATTATAACACAAAAACATAAATGTTTAGACTAAATAGCTTAAATCTCATAACATTATACATTTATATATATTTATTATTGTTAATATATTGACTTTTCAGCCATGCATGCCTAACAATACAAAAGTTACAATGATGCAGTGCACATGCACTCATGTTACCATATCAAATAACAAAGCTGACCTTTGGTCTGTACAAAGTAACTTGTCTTGGCAGTATTTTAGTAGACTAGTATTTATAAAATACAGTCACATTTCAATTATACATTATATATGTATATATATGATTTCTATTTTGAAATAAGTTCCTAAACTTATTTTTCTTAAAACATAGAACAGTAACTAAAGAAGTAAAGCAAACAATCATCTCTTCTAGTTACGACCTTTGTACTTGGTTGCTGCTTGACGTAGGTTACTAAGCCTTTAAAAAATTACCCGTGGAAGATACGAAACAAAATATTTTTGTTAGGTTTTATATATATATATATATATATATATATATATTTGAATAAACTAAAATCATAAATTACTACATCCATACCATAGAATTCTGCTATAATTTATCAAGCTTAGTAACTAAGATGTATTTTAGTCTAAAAAAATATTAAATTTAGAGCAGACACACCCTACATGCTTGAAATATTGGTTCAAAAGAAAGAAATAGCACCAAGCCTGTTAAAATGGCTAAGAAAGCTTCTGATTGGTTATTCATGTCATATATAGAAGAATATGTAAGGTAGGATTTACAAAAATGGAAAGAGGTGGGTGGGGTGCCACTGTGTTTGATTTATTACATGAGCAATATCTTAGCAAATTGAAAAGATAAGAGTCTCTTATTTTATATTCTAGCTTGTCAATATTGGTAATTTGAGTTTCTAATTTGTACAAAACTATAGACTTAGTATTTTGACTTCACAAACATCTAATTTGAACTAGTGCTGCATTCAACATTTTGACACACAAAAAATTGATGTTTACTTGTGTTTTTTAATATTTGCTTTTAAATTAAGAAATTGGGTAATATATAGTACTAAAATTTGAATTATAATCTACTGTTTGATATCAAAGTTATTGACATAAATTCATGAAATACTAGTTCAATAAAATTTTGAATGCGAGTCAACAAACGAGATGATATGGTCTTTCACCCGTGACCCATCTCGAAAGGGTTAAGTAGACTAGAAACTCAAACAAGTATAGGAAGAAACACATCTGAACAAAGGCATTGCCAAGAAAAGAAATGAGCCCATGATAACGTGCTCATGGAGATTACGGCACATGAAAGTCATATTGCCCGCCTACTGATGGAGAGCTACAACATTATGAAAATTAAGTCATTAGATGCACGTAGGGGTGGGAGTTTGTTCAATGATTTTGGCATGTACAGAAAATTCTATGGTAGATGCACATAAGATAATGGCTCTTAGTGGTGTAGAGAGGTAAGTAGCATTGCTGAACTAAGTGTTGCATGTGTCTTACAATGACTCACAGCCATTAATAAAATATGTCATGCTAAAAATTACTAAAATTGCTTGTTGACAACCCTGCAAAAATGTTGCATATACGAAGGGCAATCAGTAATACTATGTTGCAACACTGCATACACATTACTTTCATTAAAGCTATTGGATACTTAACAAGCATTAATTATATAATTAATGAGGTAAGCACATTTATTTGAGGCAGGTAATATTACATTAGGTCACTAACTTCACAATATATGTATATAAATATAGAAATATTTCTGTATGTTACACTGCTGTACATGTTCACATATCAGACAAGTTTTATTTATAACCTCATGGTAAGTATTATAACATTTCCTGTAAAAACATTAATTAGATTTTTGAATATTTCTACATGTTAGACGGCTAGGATATGGTTAAGGTGCGAGACACATTCCATTTGTAAATTCAAAGTAATAATCATTACCCCTAGGACATTTTCTGAATGTGTACTTAGATGTTTAGATACTTGTGTGTGTTATACGGCTGACTGTAAGTTCAGAGTAGGTTTAATTCTTCTGAAACATTCTATGTACCATACTTGTATTTAAATGTTTAATACAGTTTTACATGTTACATAGTTGTACTACTACTAATCTTTCACAGTAGCAGTTAAAGTAACTGTTGAATGATTCGGAGTAGGTTTAATTCTTCTGAAACATTCTATGTACCATACTTGTATTTAAATGTTTAATACAGTTTTACATGTTACATAGTTGTACTACTACTAATCTTTCACAGTAGCAGTTAAAGTAACTGTTGAATGATTCGGTTACTGGTAAAATACACATCCTACTCAGATACAAATAGAATTTTTGGGAGAAAATAAACATATAGTACCTTATCAAGTACTTATGGTAAGAGGAAAATAAATGCATCAATGTTCTATAATACACTATTCAAAAAGTAATTATAAAATCTCTTTTAAACTATATTTAGTTTAGAGTAGTATTTTAGGGGTTTACAGAGCTGGAACAGATTATGTTTAGGTATTTTAATTTCATAAAGAAATTAACATATCCTAGATAGAAACTGGCCAATCACTTGAGAAGTAACTTCAGAAAAAGTAAACCCTAAAAAATATGTGATTATAACTTAGAATATCATATGACTATGATCTCACCTCAGGAGTAACATCACGAGGAGTACAACCAGTGCCACCTGTTGTCAAAACAAGGTCCAATTTCATGTTGTCACACCAGTGAAGTAACACTTCCTTTATAACATTAACAACATAACATATTATAAACTGACAGTATGATACAAATAAATGTATAGAATTTATCTTGATGTTATCAGATTATTATATACATATATATACATACACACAGCTTCAATAAAAAATTACCTTCAAGAATTACATAACGTTTTCCTACCAATGAACTTTTACAGTAGCCACATTTAAGAAACAGAATCAGCACTCCTACCAACTGTATATCACACAATTATCTCTATATTTGTTCAGCTCTCCCTATACTCTTATTTTGGATTAAAATATCTTTTTCCTTTTTTAACCCCTATACCTGACAATTTTCTCCTATATTATCACCAAATCTTTGTTTTAATGATATATGCTAATATAGTTCATGTACTTATTCATATGGCAATGCTTCTTATGATACTATATTTCACAATATGGCTATTTATTACCATTCTGTAAGGAATGTTTTTTTGTTGTTTTTATCAAGGCTTTTTATCTTTTTTAAAACATTAACCATTTTCCTGCTAATGCTCCCATTTGAGAACGATTTATTTTGGTAACCAGGTGCTTTTTTCCTATGTTTTGAGATTATTATTGATATTTTAATCATCAAAGAGTCATGTTCCATGGCAGAAGTTTTTATTAGAATCACTTAGTTTTTGTAAAATTTATGATTCTACAGAAATATTTAAAAGTTAGGCTTACTAATTTGTTGACTGACATCATTATTATAATTTAAAGCAAAACATGTTTAGAAAATTTTATGCATCAGTTATAGAGGTATTTAGTGTACTTTCTACTGATGTGCATAACACTTACAGCAATGCTAACTTGGGAGGGAAAAATTGACCTAAACTTTAGTGTTCGCCCAAGGAATTATATTGCATATGATATTTGGTTGAAAATACCACAAATATGTGAAAATAATCATAGTTGCTTAAAGAGAGCTACGAGCAGTGGAAAAAAGGTTAAGCAGCTTTAAGCTTATGTTTTACAACTCTGGTCGTGAAGTCAGGAGGTGCTACAGAACATGAAGAAAGCATGGGATAACAAAACAATAACAGCTATATCTTGGAATAAACCACTACCCAAAAACAAACAATACAAAGCATATTTGAAACTGTCTGAACCATTCACTTTTGAAGGTTATGTTTGTCTGTTTGTTCTGTTGACTTTTGAGCAAAGCAACTGAAGGGCTATCTGTTTTGAAGTGACAGACTAGAGGAAAGGCAACTAGTCAACACAACCAACTCTTGGGCTACTCTTTACCAACAAATAGTGGAATTGACCATCATATTATAATGCCCCTGTGGCTGAAAGGGCAAGCATTTACAGTGATGGAATTCGAATCCCCAACCCACACATGGTGACTCAAGTGCCCTAACCACCAGACCATCTCAGGCCTAAAAGTTTAAGACAACATACTTCCTGTCTTAATCAGCTGACTGAGTTTTTAAATTAAAATGGAAGCAGATACCTTGCAGAATAGTTGCACTTATTCAACCCAATAGAATTCTTAAATCAAGTTAGGAAAGTGGTCACTATAGGACCCCTTCTTCTATAACCACATGCTCAGATCATTCTGGCAGAGCAGAATGATCAATATATTCACATAGTTTCTCATACATATCCAAATTAAATTCAAGCTTGATGTGAAAAAATGTTTTATCTATAAATATGAACACATATTAATCATAATAAAAGTATAAGACATAAAAAAAACATCCATCCAAACCTATTCTAACGTAATGCATAACTTCTTTGATATTAAGATCTTAAACTATGCACAGGAAACTTCAAAATTTCTTAAACGGAGTTGAAAAACTGTGAGCTCTGTCTCTTTAATATATTAACAAAACTGTATAACTATATTAATTCACTTATTAATGGCTTCATAACTCCAAGAAAAATATTTATAACAGAAATTGTAACCCCTATAGACAAATATCTGAATGCAGAATTTACTTCAAGTGTCCTTCAAACAAATACATAAAGTGATCTAGTAAAAAAAAAAGTGTATCATTTGACAGAACTATTATGAAATTATACATTGAAGTTTAACCACAATGTAATGTAAAACACAACATATGAAAATTGCAATGTACAACTTGACCAATGTATAAATGATTTCGTCTTCCTTTAGCAGGGGGTCACCATTCTTCACATTTGTTGCTCTCCTCCAATCGTCTTTATTCACTGTCAGGTCTATTGCAATTCCTTTCTCATTCTAGTCTTTATTAATCCCATCTTTCTAATGCTTTACTGGCCTGCCCTGTCTTCTCTTGCCAGCAACAAGCAACTCTAATACTCTCTTTATTGCTAATTCTTCTTTTATTTTCTCTTCATATGACCAAACCACCCCAGCCTCACTTCTCTTGCCCTTTCCTCTATTCCACAGACACCTGTCATATCCTTTCTTTCCTTATTCATTCTCTTCTCTTTCAGCAATACTCCCAACAGCCACCTCGGCATTCTCATTTCTGCCCTTATCAACAAGCCTTTTTCCTTCTTCTTCAGGGTCCAGGTCTCAACTCCACAGAGGAGCACCAGTCTAATCACTTTGGCTTTCAGTATTCCTTGTAAACTTTTATCACAGATGCCTGTGGCTACTTCCTTTCATTTCCCCCAACCTGTCTGGATTCTATCTCTCACAGTTTTTTCATTTCCTCCTTGACTTTGGATTTTACCTCTCAAGTACCTAAAGTATTCTAGCTGTTTCAGCAGTTTCCTGTTTAAATCTGTGATCTTAACCTTCTTCCTATCTCTTCTACTTACCATGACTTCCATTTTTCTGGTATTCCCTTTCAAGCTTCTTCTTTCCAAACTCTTCTGCCACACTTTAACTTGTGTTTGAAACTACTCACTTTCAACTGTTATGACAAGGTCATCAGCAAATAACAGTTCCCACAGTGGTCCTTTACAGCACTCCTTACTTAAGACATTGATGATAACGATGAAAAACAGGAAGCTAATTGCTGACCCTTGGTGCAGCTCAACATTTACTTCAAACTTGCCTGGTTCTCCATATACTGTCTTCAAGATTGTTGTCACTCCTTCATAAGTGGCTCTCACTAATCTGAATAGCTTTTCAGGCACTCCTTTCTTTTGGAGGCACCAGTATACTAATACTCATATCATCCTGTAATCCAAACTTACAAATGCATAGTATAGCTTCTTGTTTCTTTCAAGATACTTCTCCTGCAACTGTCACAGAATTAAGATTGCATCTCTCTCAGGCCAAAACCCAAACCATATTTTGTCAATGTCTACTCCCCTATAGTTTCACACTTAAGAGCATCTTCTCTCTGCTTGTAGATGGGTATCAATAGACTCTCTCTCTCTCTCCATTCTGCTGGTATCTGCTTTTCCCTCCAAATGTTCTTCAACATGGTCCATACATATCCAAATCCATCTCCTAGTGCCTTGACCATCTCAAAGAAAATCTTTGATAGAGCTCCTGTTTTATCTAGTTTAATTTTTCTAATTGCTTTTTTGACCTTTGCTCTAATGATGTCCGTTACTGGGTCTGCATTGGTGGTGTCACTTTCAATTTTTCTGACTTATTTTTGGTTTTAAGTAATTCCTTGTAGTAATGTTTCCATCTCTGTTTTACTGCCTTTTTATTCATCAGGAGTTTTCCTTCTTCGTCCTTAATTAATATGATCACCACCATGTTATTTCTTTGCCATCTCCCTTTCCTTGACTATTCTCTATACCTTCTTCTCCCTTTCCGGTATTTCCATGTTGTTGTACCAATCTTTAATTGCCTCTTTTTTGCCACTGCTACTGCTCTCTTTGCCTTCATTTATACCTCTTGTACACCATTCTTGAATAGTATTCTTTCTTTAACTGCTATTCTTTGAAGGCTTCTTTCTTTTCCTTGATGGTTTGCTATACTTTTTTGCTACACCACCAAGCTTCCTTCTGTTCTGGTCCTCGTTCTTTTGTCTTGCTCTTGAATTACGCATTTATCCAGTAGTTTCCAGTAACTCTGCTTTTCTGGCACTCTTTTGAATCTCTTGCATCTTTTGTTTCACTGCTTCTCTGTATTTCTCCTGGTTTTCTCCTTCTAGATTCCACACCTTAATTTTCTCAATTCCTTTCTTTTTTTCCTTCTTCTTGTTCCTCTTATTTTTCATAAAAATTTTGTATTGGTGTGCTACTGCATCTCCTGGTATCACTTTTACATCCAACACCTTTTTCCTATCACTCCTTCGAACTATGATGTAGTCAATCTGAAATCTTTTGGTTGCTCTTGTATGTGATGAGATGTTCCTCTCTCTTTTGGAACCCAGTGTTTGTCAGGAACAACTCCATACTCCCTGCCATTTCTAGCAATCTCTCTCATTCTACATTTCTTATTCCATAGCCTCACCCCTGACACGTCCCTTCAAACCCATCTACTTTTTCTCCTACATGTGCCTTCAGGTCTGCACCCACAAGCAACAACTTGCTATCTAGTATCTTTATAATAGTATCTTGTTGTTTCTCATCAAAATTCTCTTTCTCCTTGTTAGATATATGCGACTGCTTTAATTTAAATATGTATTAAATTTAGTTATTTTCAGATGTGATAGTTTATTGGAAGTTTGTTTACGTAACTGTGCAATTCATATGCTGTGTAATTCAACTGTCATACATTGGTGATTGTTGTATTATTGTGCATGTTAATAGAACCTTCTAAGTTTTTCTTGAGTATTATTACATCACTATATCTCGTAGTGTTTCAAAAGTTCTAGACCTCAGTTGGGCTATATATATATAAGTATGTGTGTTTGTGTGTGTGTCCAAAATGCAGTTCAAGTAAGACAAAGTTAGTTAAGTGACGAGATATAGATCTAAACTACGTACTTGTAAGTTTAGCCATAAAGAGAATATTGTGGCGATTTTTTTTTAAATGAGTTATCACAGATTGTATTGTGATAACAAAGTATAGAAGAATAATTTGTCTTGTCAATTGTGTACTAAAGTAACTGAATTAGTCTGTGTGGACATTTGACAAAAAAGAAACAATT